AGTTTAAAAAAAAAAAAAAAAAAGAGGGTGGGTCTGACCCAGAAGGAGGCTGGGTGGGTGTGGGTGGAGACCAGTGGAGGGGAGTGGTCTTCCCCTCAAAGTCTGGGTCGTTGGCTTATATAAGAGCCCAGGAGCGCCCCGCTCTCATCATCTGAAAAGGAAAGCAGCGTGACTCAGCATCTTGTAAATTTCGCCTGCACTTTATTTCACCTTTACTTTTCCATTCTCTCCCATCTTCAGGATACTAGTTTCTTTCATTTTTTATCCTTTGGGGACTTGCCTTCCCTTCTGCATTCTGAAATTCGCTTGGGATGCTCGTCCCCTCCTTTCATCCTAAGCTCCCTTTCCTCTCCAGCTTTTTAACCGTATGTGCTCTTCCCTCTTTCGGCCTTTGGGTCCAGAAACTTTATGTGTGGGCGTAGTGTTGTCTATGACTTGGGATATCTACATTGGAAAGCTTCGGTCTTCACTCATTGTGGAGCAATTTAAGGCAGGTTCTGTAAGTCTCGTCTTTTTTAATCTGTGTTTTGGGGTGCCTTGTGTGTTAAGTGACCTGTTGGTTAACAGGTTCAAAATGGAGCCCCTTAAGGTAAGCCCATCTCACCTACCCCCAACTCTGTTGCATGCGCTGAATGCTCATTGAATTTTGACTCGTGTTAACTGCGTGCGGAGGGGATGCTATGAGCTTGATTTGCATGGTCGGATTTCCTTACCTTTATCTCTCTTCCATTTTCCAGATTTGGGGGTTAAGGTGGGGTTCATCTTAGTCCTTTGCAGGCGTTCCGTCTGGTAAGTCTTCCCGTGGGTGATCGCGTGTCCCTTATGGACCTTCTCAGCCTGTGGTACTCAAACTGTGGGGGCACTTCTGTTCTACGAAGGGAAGTGCCGCCATCTTTTGAGTGTTACCGATTGAGAAAGTAGCTTCCGGGACTTCGCTGGGGGTCCGGTGGTTAAAACTGCGCTTCCACTGCAGGGGGCGTGGCTTCGACCCGTGGTTGGGAAATAGGGTCACGCATGCCACGCGGCGGGACTAAAGGTAGCTCCCATTTCACATAGTGCGGTGGTCCTTGACAGGCTTTTTGAACTCCTGGAGTGGGTTTATTGGGCTGAGCAGACTTCAGGCTACCTCTGGCCAAAGGTTTTTGGGATTGCTCGGCTCAAGACCAGTCTGTCCTGTTCTGGTCAGACTGTTCTGGTAACTCCTGTGTGAAGGGTATTTATTAACTGCTGGGATTCTGGGGTCCGTTGGGAAATCGGCGTCTTAGAATACAGTAAATACCTTATTACACTCATGTGAATTTAGGGAACATTCAGTAATGGTCACCCACCGGTATGTGCTTGCCAAGTGGCGGAGGGGGAATAAAAATTAGTAGCGAAATACCAATACCGCCTACAAACATGATCATTCTCCAAGTAATGGTAATAATTCTATGCTTTTTAACATCTTAAGATCAGTGATCTTTCAGGCATGCGTAAAGTCTAGGCGCTTTCTAGAACAGGTTCATATGCTCGAGATTCTTCGGTGTTTTCTCCAGGAACAAGTTCCGACAACTCAGACCGCGATACTCAAAATGGGGGTGCTTGCCGTTTTATACGACTGGAAAGTGCTCCCATTTCGAGCGTCCCTGTTTGGGAAATGGCATGTTAGGAACTTCTGTAGAAATCGGCGATTTCTAGAAGATGGCCGCTCTCATCTGCTGATGCCGGCCTTGAGCTGCAGCATTTCCAGCCTCCAGCCAACCCTGCTCACCTCAGACTGGCCCCCAATCTGAATTGGCCCTGGCCAGTCCATCCTGTTACTGAAGACAGTGGTTTTTGTATACTGACAGACTCCCTCGGTTTGTCTCAAGTCCGAAGTCAAGGGGAGATTCTGTCAGCAACCAAAGATCTCTGTTCATTCCTGATTGGCGGGGCAGGTTTGTCCTCCAGTTCCAGGGCTTGTTCCTATAATTACGTGCTCCTAAGGGTATAGTTGTAGCCCTTCGATTGTCTAGTTAGTGAATATATTGTGCAGTGTTCAATACATGCAGCCCTAAAGCTGTCTTTAAAGATCTGAAAAAATGAACTCGGTGATATTTGAGTGCCAATAAAATTGTATACCTATATTGTGTGTGAATTTGCCTATTTTTCCGGGAATTCCAAATCCCCAGTTTCTGTAAGTTAGGGGGTCCTTGGTGGGGGGAAGTGGGCGAACCCAGTGGTGTGCCTCAACATTTTGCTTGCCCTTTAAGCAGCAAGAGAGGAAAAGCTTGTTTCCCTTATGATTTTAGTGCCCTCTATCAGAATTAGTCAAATGGAGAGTGTTTGGGCTTAGTAAATTAGGGCCTAGAGGGAATTCCTGGTTAGGCCTTCACTGTGGAGGGCGTGCTTTCAGTCCATGGGTGGGGAAATAAGATCCCAGAAACCTTCAGGTGTGGCAAAAAAAAAAATTAAGGCCTAGTGTTCCCTACCTTTATGGGGAAACCTGCCATATTCTCCATATTAAGTTATTTTCAAGTTTTGGTTAATAGCACTCACGACATAAAATACCCTTCAGAAGACCAAGGAATTTGAAGCTTTCTGATCAGCTCTACACAGGTTGGCAAGAGAAAGCTATGAAAGGTGTAAGTTATAACGGACAATTCTAGGAGGGTCTCAAATATCGGGTTGGCCAAGAAGTTTGATATAACAAGAATAGCCCAAACAAATGGCCAACCCAATATTAAGAGTTAATTGTATTAAGTGCAAGTTCAGTTGCTCAGAAGTTCAAATGGCTGAACTAGGGTCTTGGAATCAATGGGCTAGCAGTCTGCCAAGACTCTTAAACTACAGGTAAATATAAAAGTCTTGTGCCAGGAGTACTGTCCTTAGAATCTGGGGATGCGGCTTCATGGTTTGCTTTGGTAATTGGGGGTAATTCTAAATTCCTGAAATATAGTTAATAGAATTAACAGGTGTACAGAAATGTGATTAACAATTTATATAGGTTATACTCCATTTATAGTTAAAAATTCCAGCTATTATAATTGGGAAATCCCATCTCTTGACAGACTCGTTTCCCAGTAGCCCTCCCCAAACCATTCCAGCTACTGGACCTTGAGTGACCAGTAATTACACTCAAGTCCTGGGAGTTCTGTGTTGCTAATTGTATACTATGAACATAAAACCACAAAACCCATACCTTCATGTCAAGGCATACTCGACGTTCACACCCACAGATTTCATTAGCTTTTAGCTTTATAACACCTAGGAATTAGGTTAAAGTGGGACAGGTTACCTTAGTTCAGTCAGCCTTAAAAAGTCTGGTCATGATCAAATAGAGCTTGTGAGAAGAGCTGTTTCAGAAGCTGCTTGTAAGGGAGATCTGAGGCTAGGTTAAGCCAAGGATTTAATAATTTAAGGGTTTAATTATAGGGTTCAGTAATCAGTATTTCAAGGGACAGTTTTTTTTGCGGTATGCGGGGCCTCACTGTTGTGGCCTCTCCCGTTGCGAAGCACAGGCTCAGCAGCCATGGCTCGCGGACCCAGCCGCTCCGCGGCATGTGGGATCTTCCCGGACCGGGGCACGAACCCACGTCCCCTGCATCGGCAGGCGGACTCTCAACCACTGCACCACCAGGGAAGCCCAAGGGACAGTTTTATGTGAGTAGCCGGAACATTTATTGATGGCCACAGGAATGTCATCTTCAGAGTCTGGGGTTTTCAACCTTTCATAGATTACAAAGTCACTAAGTCTTATGTAAAAATTTTCTCTGCTTCCTAGTAAATTCTGGTCCTTCTAGACATCTTCAGCATGGCGTGCTCATGGCAGCCTGGTGCAGTTTGCCGATGATCATTGGCATAGTCTGAAGTTTCCTAGCTCAGGTCCCCAATAATGAAATTAGGGCAGATTTCATGTTTTCATCCAAAGCCTGGTGTAGGTCATTGGCCAGCCTGCAGGTGTCCAACCGTAGTCCTGTTAGCTCCAGTCAGGACAGAATCATGGTGCAAACCAAAATTGCAAGGGTTGTTGGCATGACAATCATTCTAAGATACACCGTCCTCCCAAACTGCCTAATATCCTCACTGCACCGATCCTCTCTGAGAATAAGTTTTCTCAACATTGGCACAGTTGACACTGAAGCTAAGTACTGTTGTTGCAGGAGGGGGGACCCCTTCCAGGGCTCGAGAGTGGGCTCTTGTCTAACTCTCGTCAATGAGTTGTCCCAGGAGACACGTGCTGACAAAAGACTTGGGAAGGGGCGCCCAAACAGAGAGCAGCAGGGTGAGGGAACCCGGGAGAACTGCTCTGCCACGTGGCTTGCAGTCTCAGGGTTTATGGTAATGAGGTCAGTTTCCGTGTTGTCTCTGGCCAATCATCTTGCTTGGCCCATAGTCTGACTCAGGGTCCTCCCCGGTGGTGCGTGCCTCGCTCAGCCAAGATGGATTCAGTGAGGACTCTGGAAAGCTGGTCATCTCCTCCCTCTTTGAGCCCCTCCCGAATTCTCCTGCTTAGTTTACCATGTTCCTTACCGGGACCTCCCGTTGTGAGAAAACTCAGGTGAGCAGCCTGGTCAAGGCGCGGGGGTGGGGTTCCGTCAGCAGTCCCTAACGCTTTGCTATGGGAGGCTGTCTTGTGTGTTATAGTATTATAGGTCATTTAGCAGGACCCCTGGCCTCTACCCACGAGATGCTAGTAGCTCCCCAACCCCAGTATCCTCTGACACTGCCGGGTATTCGGCGGCGGGGTGGGGGGAGGAGCGGTGGAGGTTGGAGAGGCAACGTCACCCTCAGTTGAGAGTTTCTGCTCTAGAATCATTTGGGCCCTGCCCTAAATACTCTCCAAAGCACCAACTCCCAGAACTAAAATTCCGAGCTCTGTCCCACGGGGATGACATAGACCCCCAAGCGGCAAGGATTATCCGGCCGAGGAATTTGTCTCTTGAGGGAGTAAAGAACAGGCTCATTGGTGATTCTCGGGTTCTGGGGTGACCCTCCTTTGTCCTGACTTCAAGAGAAGAACCAGAAGCTGGAACCATCATTCAGCAGCCAGTGTCCAAGTAAGGTTTCATTAGGCGAAGAGCGGCCAGACTTCTGTGGGGCATTTTATTCAGGTCCATTCCACATAGCCTGAGGACACAGAATGGGAAATTGTCCAGGCCACGATTGTGGCATTCAGATGATATATTAAACCTATCATGCGTGCATCCTGCCCTGTCAAAATACATAATTCCATTAACTAGTTCTTCATTTGAAACCACATCCAATCGGGAAGTAGGCTTACTCTGAGCTGCACACCATTTTAAATCCCAAACCTCTGTGAATTCATTTAATTTGTAATAATCTTATGAAGAAGCAGCTATTTTCATTTGACAGACAGGGATACTGAAGTACCAAGAGGTTGACTAATTTACAAAAATACATCACAAAACTGGTGAGTGACAGGAATTAGAATTTGAGGCCAGGCAGAGTAATTCCAGATTCTCATTAAGTTACAATGGCCTCACTTGTCAGATTAGGTAATTTACCAAGGTTAAATTACCCAAGGTCACACCGCCAGTGAAAGGTATGGGTATCTCCCAAGAGGCAAAGTAAGACCTCTGTATTTTGCACAAATTGCATACACAAGTGGACAAAGGAACTATTTGCAAATTTTCTAGGTTATCTGTTTATCCAAACGGAGGGTTTCAACGATTGACTTTTCCTTCTAACTCCAAGCCCTGTATCCTGTCTGCTCCAGAACCAGGGACCATCTCTTACCAGAGGACTCGAAGTTTGCAGCTGGGATGACTCAGCCTCTTGCATAGCAGCCTGACACCTGTGTTCCCCAGGGCATTGTTGGTCAGATAAAGCTCTGTTAGGGTCTGGTTGACCCCCAGGGTGGAAGAGAGATCCTCACAAGCTTTGGCTGTGAGGCCATAGCTGTCCAGCCTGTGGAAGACAGGAAGTAGTTGAAGCCATATCAGCAGTTATGTTGGAAAGTCTCATCTTCATAGGGAATCAGGATGATAGTTTTAGGGATCAGTTTAAGAAAAAGGAGAGGGGGCTTCCCTGGTGGCGCAGTGGTTGAGAGTCCGCCTGCCGATGCAGGGGACGCGGGTTCGTGCCCTTGTCCGGGAGGATCCCACATGCCGCGGAGCGGCTGGGCTCCTGAGCCATGGCCGCTGAGCCTGTGCGTCCGGAGCCTGTGCTCCGCAACGGGAGAGGCCACAGCGGTGGGAGGCCCGTGTACCGCAAAAAAAAGAAAAAGGAGAGGGACTTCCCTGGTGGCCTAGTGGTTAAGAATCCGCTTGCTAACGCAGGGGACACAGGTTCAAGCCCCAGTCCGGGAAGATCCCATATGCTGCGGAGCAGCTAAGCCCGTGCGCCACAACTGCCAAGCCTGCACTCTAGAGCCCGTGAGCCACAACTACTGAGCCCGTGTGCCACAGCTACTGAAGCCTGCATGCTTAGAGTCCGTGCTCCATAACAAGAGAAGCCACCGTAATGAGAAGGCTGTGCACTGCAAAGAAGAGTAGCCCCTGCTCTCTGCAACTAGAGGAAGCCCGTGCACAGCAACGAAGACCCAATGCAGCCAAAAATAAATAAACTTTTAAAAAGAAAAAGTAGAGTAGGGGACTTCCCTGGTGGTCCAGTGGTTAAGACTCCGTGCTTCCAATGCAGAGGGCTTGGGTTTGATCCCTGGTGGGGGAACTAAGATCCCACGTGACTCGTGCCAAAAAAAAAAAAAAAGGTAGAGTAGAACCAAATCAGTCCAGGTTAAGGCCAATGTAGGGATGGAAAACTTTTCTTTCTTTCTTTTTTTTTTTTTTTTTTTCCATGCTGCATGGCATATGGGATCTTATTTTCCCAAACAGGGATCGAACCCATGTGCCCCGCAGTGGAAGTGCAGAGTCCTAGCCACTGGACTCCCAGGGAATTCCCCGGAAAGCATTTCATAAAGGCATTTAAGGACACTCCTCAATTCATAGCTCCGTCTATAACGGGTACCTTGATTCTGCAGCCAAGTACCCACTTTCCCTTCTGGCAATTCTATCCCAATTTCTCATGGAAACCCCCATCTCAGTCTATCTAGGGTTAATGTCTGCAAGCTCTAGCAGTGTATATAGAATCCAGGCCTAAGTTGGTTGGTTTCCACGTCCCCAGCCACCACACATGGGTTACAGTTGGGCACAGGATCCATCCAAAACCCATGACTCAGAATCATACTTTTCCTGGAGATGTTTTGTCCAGAACTTGCACCTGGAAAGAAGTCATCTACAGAGTTGCAGGCATTTTGCCACCATGTATAGGGTCAAGGCTAACCTTAACTGATAATGGAGCCAATACAGCAATAAGTATAGAAGATAATGGAGATCAGGTAGCCAAATGCCTAGATCAAGCCGTACCTCAAACCTACACTTTCAGTTACACAAGTCAATCAATGCTTTTTTTTTTTTCAAGAAGCCAGCATGATTTGGGCTGCCACCTGCCCCACCCAACACTGTGCCATCTGATTTTCTGGCTTCTATTCTGCCCAATTGTGTTTCTTTAAAAAAAAAAAAAATTATTTATCTTTGGCTGCGTCTGGTCTTAGTTGTGGCACTCGGGCTCTTTCATTGCGGCTCGTGGGCTCCAGAGCACTTGGGCTCTGTAGTTGCGGCACTCGGGCTCAGTTGCCCTGCAGCATGTGGGATCTTAGTCGTGTCCCCCCATCCCCCCAGGGATCGAACCTGCATCCCCTGCGTTGGAAGGTGGATTCTTAACCACTGGACCACCAGGGAAGTCCCCCCAGTTGTGTTTCTTTCCTGTACTGCATGCTGTTACAATAAAAATAGGTAGCGTTATTGAAGTACTGCTGTAGCTGGGATGTGAGATGGAAATATTTTCTTCTTTGGCTGGGGCTGTGAGGCAATAGATTCCAGCTTTCGAACAAGGTATAAGACAACAGGGCAGGACTCGCAAAGGAAGAGAAAAAACCAGCGTAGTGACGCACGATCACCCACATCACAGGTACAGAAGGGTCAAGAGAAGGACATACGGTGAGAGCTGAGGAGGGAATTGTGGAAAGAGTTTGACCCAGATTGTTCCATGTCAGGGGAATGGGCGGTGGAGACACCTCCCATGCGGTCCCCATCAGGACTCACATATGATCCTCATGAGAGTGGTAGCATTCGGAGACCTGCCAGATAGGGGGTTGGGGTGCGTGGTACTCACATCCAGAGGAAACCTAGCAGCACCAATTAAGGCAGAAATGCTGTCCCCAAGCCCTCCTCTTAGTTCCCAGTTACCCAATGCCCCAAATAAGCAAGAGATTCATGAATGGAAGAAAAGTAAAACAAAAATAGATATGACTCATCTCATTCTAAGTCTTTGGGAGGAAGGGGCAGGCTGGTATTGGGAGAAAGGGAAGGAAAAAATGTTCATGAACATTTCACTGGAATTTACCCTGGACCAGACTGAATTTTTATTATATAATGTTACCAAAAAGCTATAAGTCTGCCCAAGTAAATGCCAAGAGAAAAGAGGAGTTTTACAGAAAATGTTTAGAGGCAACGACTGGAAGGAAACATTTAGCATTTTCTGTTTGTATTGCAGGGTAGGAATTATTCTGTGACTTTTGCACAGTTGTATGTTGTATGTTTGTTTGTTTTGACCACGCCCAGCAGCTTGCCGCATCTTATTTCCCGACCAGGGATCAAACAGTGGAAGCATGGAGTCCTAACCACTTTACCGCCAGGGAATTCCCTGCACAGCTTTTCTTCCACCTCTGAGCATGTTATATCTTCCACAGAGATAGAAGGATAACAGTTCAATAGAAAAAACATAAAAACAAGAAAACGCTCCCATCCCAGGGACCCCCATCACCACCAGCCCTGACTCCCAGCCACTCACCATAGTTTCTGGAGCCTGCAGGTGGGCTGTCGCAGCCCCTTACACAGCAACGACATGACGCAGTCTCCCAGGTCATTAAAACTCAAGTCCAGCTCCCGAGATGGTGGTTGACCCCGAGCACAGCAGAGAGAGCCTCACAGGCTGCGGAGCTGAGATGGCAAATTCCCAGCCTGGAAAGACATTAAGCACAGGACAGAGCTGACCCATTCCTTCTGCAGACGTCCGCAGCTTTTTTTTTTTTTGGAGGGGGGCAGTTGGGGGGTGGATCTCAGTTTCCCAACCTTGGACTGAACCCAGGTCCTTGGCAGTGAAAACGGAGTCCTAACCCCTGGACCACCGTGGAATTCCCAGACATCTGCGGCTTACTGGGGTCAAAAGTGCTCCTGTATTAACAAACTAATGAATATAAACCAAAAGAAGCAGACTCACAGATATAGAGAACAAACGAGTGGTTACCAGTGGGGAGAGGGAAGGGGGGAGGGGAAATACAGGGGTAGGGAATTAAGAGGTACAAAATACTGGGTGTAAGGTGGGCTACAAGTGGACTTTCCTGGTGGTCCAGTGGTTAAGACGTCACGCTTCCGCTGCAGGGGGCGCAGGTTTCATCATCCCTGGTCAGGGAACTAAGATCCCACGTGCTGCGCAGTGAAGCCAAGAAAAAAAAAGGCAGGCTACAAGGATGTGTTGTACAACACGGGAAATATAGCCAATATTTAGTAATAACTGTAAATGGAGTGTAACCTTTAAAAATGTGCTACTGTATTGTATAGCATTCTTTTACTAATTTCCAGCGATTCTCCCATGTCCTTAGATAGTGCTGCCCGTGCTGTGAAAAACTAAATTCTACTTTCCTTCAAGTGTGTCAGTTTCCTCAGGTGACATGTAGGATCTCTGTAAATATGATTATTTACCTATGGCTGACCTGCTGCTACTGGACAAGGGGAAAGGGCCTAGGCTTTGAGGAAACTGGACCAATGCATTCTAAAATTTTCATGTAAGAATAAATGTCTATGAATAACTATGAGAATTTGGAAAAAAAAAAGCAAAATGCAGAATTTTCCTAACAGTAGGGCATATTACAAGCTATAGCAATTACAACAGTGGACAGGACTTCCCTGGCAGTCCAGTGGTTAAGACTCTTTGCTCCACTGCAGAGGGTGTGGGTTCGATCCCTGGTCAGGGACCTAAGATCCCATAGGCTGCACGGCCTGGCCAAAAATTTTTTTTTAAACTGAGATAGGAACAGAGACCAGTGGAAAGGAAAAAGTCAAATACAATATGGGAAAATGGTTTACAATAGAGGTGGCATTACAAATCAACCAGGAAAGGATGCTTTCTTTATTAAATGGTGTTGCAAAAATTGGAGAAAAATAAGTTGGAATCCACTGAACTACACATATAAACATGAAAAAGAAATGGAAACATGGATGGGCCTAGAGATTATCATACGAAGTGAAGTAAGTCAGAAAGAAAAAGACAAATACCATATGATATTGCTTATATGTGGAATCTAAAATATGACACAAATGAACTTATTTATGAAACAGGAACAGACTCATAGACATAGAGAACAGACTTATGGTTACCAAAGGGGAAAGGGGGTGGAAGAGAAATAAATTAGGAGTTTGGGATTAGCAAATATAAACAACTATATGTAGAATAGATAAACAACAAGGTCCTACTGTATAGCACAGGGAACTATATTCAATATCCTGTAATAAACCATAATGGAAAATGGAAAAGAATATGTGTGTGTGTGTGTGTGTGTGTGTGTGTGTGTATAACTGAATCACTTTGCTGCACGCCAAAAAATAACACAATGTTGTAAATCAACTATACTTCAATTAAAAAAAAAGAAGATATTGAGCATATCTTTGACATTGTAAATTCAGTCTGATCCTGCAGTTCTACCCCAGGTGGAACCTTAAGGGTTCAGAAAGACACATGTACAAGAATATACATCAGGGACTTCCCTGGTGGTGCAGTGGTTAAGAATCCACCTGCCAATGCAGGGGACAGGAGTTCGAGCCCTGGTCCGGGAAGATCCCACATGCCGCGGAACAACTAAGCCGTGTGCCACAACGTGCTCTAGAGCCCACAAGCCACAACTACTGAGCCTGCGTGCCTACAGCTTGTGCTCCACAACAAAGAGAAGCCACCACAATGAGAAGCCCGCACCCCGCAACAAAGCGTAGCCCCCGCTCACCGCAACTAGAGAAAGCCCGTGCACAGCAATGAAGACCCAATGCAGCCCTAAATAAATAAATAAATAAATAAGAATATACATCACAACACTGTACACAGTTATAGGGACAGAGTTCCTGGATGAATCAATAACATTTGATACATGCAAATGATGGAATATAGGTCAGTTTCAAGGACTCAATTAGATATGCTTATACCAACATGAAGAAACCTTCAGTGTATGAAGGTAAGTGGGAAAAAAAACAGAAGCTGATGAGATGCATTATTTATATAAAATGAAGACATGAGTGTCTACGGATGAGATCTGGGGAGGGCAAGGAAGGAAACAAAAAGAACACAAAGGCACGTGTGGGTCCATAGTGCTATTGTGGTACCAGATGAGGATTACGAACCTTCTAATTACGTGTATCTGCAGCTCAAAAAGGAAATGTTTAAAGGGTGCAGTAGAGAGAAAGGTGTGAAGATGGGGCACATATGTTGTCCCTTCTATTCTCTAAACGCAATAGAAGCATAGTATGACTCAATGTCTCAAAAGAAAAAAAAAAAAAATATATATATATATTCCAAAACAAATGACATCAGATAATTGATGATGCTACGATAGGACCAAAAAAAAAAAAAAATTTAAAAAGCACTCTCCGTTGGGACTACAAAGAAAAAGAATTTTCTGGGAATTGACAGCCTTGATGCATTTTCTTTTCTGTTTTTTTAAAAATATAATTTGATTTTATTTATTTGTTTTTGGCTGCGTTGAGTCTTCGCTGCTGCATGCAGGCTTTCTCTAGTTGTAGCGAGCGGGGGCTACTCTTCGTTGAGGTGCGCAGGCTTCTCATTGAAGTGGCTTCTCTTGCAGAGCACAGGCTCTTTGCGGAACACAGGCTCTAGGCGCTCAGGCTTCAGTAGCTGTGGCTTGTGGGCTCTAGAGCGCAGGCTCAGTAGTTGTGGCGCACAGGCTTAGTTGCTCCGCAGCATGTGGGATCTTCCCGGGCCAGGGATCAACCCCGTGTCCCCTGCATTGGCAGGCGGATTCTTAACCACTGCACCACCAGGGAAGCCCCTGCGTAAGAGAAATTTTTTTAAACATTGGATCATCCATGGATGATGTTAATCAAATTGTGAATGATTTTCCTAAGGGAGTATGAAGAATGCTCCTATTTTGAGCTTTATCGAGGGACCTCTGACCTCTGTCTCCGGGAGCCAAGCTAGAACTGGCCCGAGACTGCAGATGATTTATATCACCAGCAGAGGGCGCTCCAACACCACAAAAGCAGACTAAGCCAGCTTTGCACCGTGAGGAAGGGAAAGAAACCAAGTGTTTCCCCATAAACTTTTTTTCTTTTAATTGAAGTATAGCTGGTTTACAACATTGTGTTAGTTTCTGCTGTACAGCTGAGTGATTCAAATATATATTCGTTTTTTTCTATTCTTTTCCATTATAGGTTATTGCAAGATATTATACAGTTCCCTGTGCTACACAGTAAAGCCTTTTATCTATTTTACGTATATATGATAGTATCTTTTCATCCCAAACTCCTAATTCCTCCCTTTCTCCCTTTGGTAACCATATGTTGTTTTCCATTTTTCTGACTCTGTTTCTGTTTTGTATATTGATTTATTTGCATTATTTTTTAGATCACAAATATATTTGATACCATATAATATTTGTCTTTGTCTGCCTTACTTCACTTGCTGTGAAAGTCTCTAGGTCCATCTGTGTTGCTGCAAATGGCAATATTTCATTCTTTTTTCTGGCTGAGGAATATTCCATGGTACATATATACCACCCCATCTTTATTCATCTGTGATGGACATTTCAGTTCCTCATTCAAACAGCTCATAAAACTCAATAACAAAAAACAAAAAAACCCACTCGAAAAATGGACAGAGGCCCTTAATAGACATTTCTCCAAAAAACACATACAGATGGCCAGTAGGCACATGAAAAGATCCTCAACATCACTAATATTAGAGAAATGCAAATCAAAGCTACAATGAGGTACCACCTCACACTGGTCAGAATGGCCATCATTAAAAAGTCTACATGTAACAAATGCTGGAGAGAGTGTGTAGAAAAGGGGACCCTCCTACACGGTTGGTGGGAATGTAAGTTGGTGCAGCAACTATGGAAAACAGTATGGAGGTTCCTCAGAAAACTATGATCCAGCAATCCCACTCCTGGGCATATACTCGGACAAAATTATAATTAAAAAAGATATATGTACCCCTATATTCACAGCACCACTATTTATATTAGCCAAGACATGGAAACAACTTAAATGTCCATCAACAGATGAATGGATAAGGAAGATGTGGTACAATTACACAATGGAGTACTACTCAGCCTCAAAAAAGAAAAAAATAATGCCATTTGTAGCAACACGGATGCAACTAGAGATTATCATACTAAGTGAAGTAAGTCAGAAAGAGAAAGACAAATACTATATGATATAACTTACATGTGGAATCTAAAATTTGGCACAAATGAACCTATCTAAGAAACAGAAAAATGCACATTCATAGAGGTCAGACTTGTGGTTGCAGACGGGGGTGCGGAGGGAGAGGGATGGACTGGGAATTTGGAGATGGTGGATGTAAACTACTACATTTACAATGAATAAACAACAAACTCCTACTGTATAGAACAGGGAACTATATCCAGTATCCTAAAATAAACCATCACGGAAAAGAATATTGAAAAAAGAATGTATATATGTGTAAAATTGAGTCATGTTACTGTACAGCAGAGATTGTCAGAACATTGTAAATCAACTATACTTCAATTAAAAAAAAAAAAAGGATTCTTGGGATCAATGCTAGCTGTCCTGATAACTCCCTTATGTGCCACACATGAATGTACTCAAAAGAGTTGATGAAAACACAAGGGAATCTAGGCGTCGCCTTTTCCATAGCAGCACATGGAGATTTCTGTTACATAGTAATAGTACCTGCAAATCAAAAAGAATTTTATCTTAATTGCCCAGGATTCCACTGGGGCAAGAGAAATTTTTTTAATTTGGAGCCTCCTCGGACGGTGGTAATCAAATTTGAATTACTTTCCAAGGGGACCATGAAGAGTGTCTCTATTTTGAGGTGTATAGGGGAACGTCTGACCACTGTCTCAGAACGCCAAACCATGACTGGCCCGAGACT